AAACTTTTCCATGCCATAGCCCCCCCAACAGCAATAGCTTCTGGCTGAGCCCCCCCTCTCAAATACACAAACAATGCTACAAAATATGTAAAGTAACATAAACTTTTAGAATGTTTTAACTTTTATTCACTATATTCTATTAATTGTTACAGCTGCTGAGCCTTAAAATGTTATAACTAACATGTTTTAAACATATTCCCACTGATTAAAAACAACTTTTCAACAAATTGTTGACCAGAAGAACCAAAACAAAAGAAATCTTAACCTCTCTCAAGCGTGTTTATCTGGAAATGACAGATACAGATTGCCCTAGTGTGCAATTTTATTATTATTATTACTATTTTTGATTTTTTATCTTCTTCTCTCCAGCTTTCTGAGGCTCTCCTAGCGCCCACTGTCGGCCCCCACTTTGAAAAACACTGGTTAAAGTATGTGTTAAGGATAACGCTCAACTTCTTTTTTTTGTCTTTTGTCTGCTCTCTTCTTCAAAAGGTCACCACAACAAGAGAATTATCACGAGAATTTGGCAATTGTTTTATGTTTTACACCGGCTGTTTTCCTGACGCAATCAATGACAACTGAGCTACCACAGCCCACTTGTGTGGAGCAGAGGGTTGCATCTAGCTGATGTGTGTGTGGTGGGGGGTGCTGGGGGTTAACAGCATTGCTCAAGGGCCCAGAGTGAGGCAATTGAGGGTGAAGGCAGGTGTGGGTGGTTAATATTTCCTACCCACATACTGATTTAATGGTCAGGAGATTTGAACAGGCAACCTTCCGATCAGATGCCTTCTCTAACCTCTGCGTCACCACGCTCCCAAAAGGTAACAGTCAACTACTACCGCACCACAAGTAAATATGTAAAATTAGCAGAGTTATAGCTGTTTTGGTGTTTCATAATATTAGTTGGCTGTGGCAGCCATCTTGAATCAGGTTGACTCCAAAAGTTAAAGATTTGTAGATGTCAACCCGATGGTTACCTTCTGAAAGTTTCATTAGAATGTGTTTAGTGATTTACGAGATATTTCCAAAAGTATAGACAAACTTAACACACACAAACGTGCAGTTATTGCCCGTCTCTTCGTCTTCATCACAGCGACTGGCAATAAAAAGTCTTCCACTAACATCGAACTCCAGCTTGTCGCCATCTTGCCCTGATGCCCTGACTAAAGTGTATTTTGCTGTGCACACGTGAACCCACACTTTTAACGCACGGGTTTGTGTGTCGCCCCATGTTTTAATAACAGCTACTTATATTAAGAGCCCATTTACAGTGTCAGTGACAGCGAAGTTAAGTGCAGAGTTGAATATTCAGCTTGTCCAAACTCCCTCTCTGAGCACTACCTCAGCTTTTAGGAAATGGCTTTCTCATGTCTTTGACGTTGCTGTTCCATTATTAACTGAGCCGAGGAGAGCCGCTTTCAATATCACTGAAACATTATCCCGTATCCCGTTTTATGAATAGACAAAGATGTTGTCTGTGTAAGTAGGGGAGAGGCATTGAACACAGTGTGAGGCTGTTCAGTTTTAAAAAGGGGAAATTCTAGGCAGCTCTGCTGTATATTCAGAGTACTGCATATTCAATGCAAAGTTTAGTTTTTTTTTTCTCTTACTTTTGGAGCTTTGTACTTTCTTGAATACCTAAGGGAAATTTGACCATAGAATGATGCACTGCACTTCAATAAAGATAAGAATATACTCCTGCCCTCTTGCACTAAAAAATGCATAGAAGCACAAAAAGTCCTTCTAACTTAAAGATGTGGAAAAATGTCTCTTTTTCTCTAAAGGTTTTCTTCTGTGTTCCACTTTTTGTAAGAAGTGTTGGAGCAAACCTGATTTAGAATGTAAAACTTGTTACATGTCATTCTCATCCTGTTTCCCTTTATGTGGTTTCCACACAAAAAATATGCATGCTGAAGGTTTCTCTTCAGCAGACATTATTAAGAACCATTTAAAACTCTTACAAGTTTTTTTTTTAAAAGAAAGACATGGTGTATCATGTTAAAGTACTCTGGTGTTTATTTTTTACTTTAATGTAATGTATACCTTACATGTCTGTGTGCAAAATCATTTATCTGTTAGCCAAATATCTCATGAACCACCTGATGGATTTCAATGAACTTCTCAGGAAGTAATGACTGAATCTGCATCTACAACTAGTTATAACTTTTTAGAGTCAACGCCATTCAAGATGGCCCCCACAGCAAAGTAACACAAAAGTTAATGCTCAGTAATCCAGGTAAAAATCCAACAATGTTCAGTCAGATAATCTGGACAGTTTTTTTTTTTTTTTGCTGAGACATTGCGTCCTTCATCCAAAGGACTTCTTCAGTCAGAGGAGCCACAAACAAACTGAATCCCACAAACAGAACACTCCCATAGTGGAAAAAACAGTTTGCTGGTGTTAAGACGGCCTCTGGGGCCTGCCCTCTCCCCCGTCAACTCCTCGGAGGCAGTCATGCAAAAGTGGTTCAAAACACCAAAGTTCATGCTCAGCAAAGTAACCTTAGTAAACCCAATAATAATAAAACAAAAACAATTTTACAGATATTGAGTTAAAAAGTGGAATGGTGATAGTTCAAATGTATCTCAAACACATAGTTTAATCACTTTAAACACATTATGTGTGTGAAACGTTGGCATTAGCTGATGGAGTCAATACTCCCACAAGTCAGTATGTTAGCTAAATATCTCAGGAACAACTGGACAGATTTTAATGACACTCACAGAAAGTAGTCATTAGATGTACATTTTTATTTTACCTTTATATTACCAGGATTAAAAAAAAAAACATTCTACAACTGATTAACTTTTGGAGTCAATGTGATGTAAGTTGGCCAGCACAGCAAATCAAATTTAGCTAAAACAAAAAACGCCTATTACTTGGGTAATCTAAAAAAGTTAAATCTGGTCCTCCGGACATTCAAAAAACAAAACAAAAAAATAATAAATGTAGAAACGTTTCGTCTTTCATCCGAAAGACTTCCTCAGTCTGATGATCTTTCGGATGAAAGACGAAACGTTTCTACAGTTCTTTTTTTTTGTTTGTTTGTTTTGTTTTGTTTTTTGAATGTCCAGAGGACCAGATTTAACTTTGTTAGATTTTTCTACCTGGATTATTGAGCATGCATCAGGATACTTGGGTAATATTACTGGTATTGAGCTAGACTTTGTCATGATGAGACTCATCCCCAACACGTAGTCTGAGTGCTTCATGTAATTGCACATTTTTTCAAGGTTTGCCTAAAATGGCTAATTCTCATATTTGCCATTATGAGTGCCTTTAATTTTTACTTTGTCATAAAAGGTGACGAGTATGACGGAGCTTTAGGGCCACGCTGCGAAAAAACATCAAAAGTCATAAAATTACGAGAATAAAGTCGTACGAGACTTTTTTTTTTTTTTTACAGCTCTTGTTTATTTGATTTTTTTACACGAGTCGGATCCACGATGCGACCTGTCAATCAATCCAGTAGGCGTGTCGGCAAATGACCAGCTAAACGCTCCTTACCTGCAGAGAGCTGCTGCAGCCCACCTGAGTCTGTAAGCAGGTTCAAAGTCCTGATAATAATCTGATGCTGATGTGCTAACAGATTAACTGTCTCCTTATTTATAAAACTAATACCAAAGTATAATTTAACAAGATGCTCAACATTCTTCATTTTACTACAGTTAAAATGTGGTAAACCTGCTTTATCGTGTCGGAGTTCAGATAATATTACAACTCGTTTAGCTTCGGATTGGTCATTTGCTGACACGCCTACTGGATTGATTGAAAGGTCACGTTGTGGATCTTACTTGTGGGAGAGAGAAAAATACGAGAGCTGAAAAGTCTCGTACGACTTTATTCTCATAATATTGACTTTATTCAACTTTATTCTCATAATTTTATGGCTTTTATTTTTTATTGTTCTTAGCGTGGCCCTGAAGCTCCGTCATAGACAAGAAGTTTGTATTCCTTTGCCTAAGAATGCAACATGAAGAACTGAGTTGTGCCTTCCAGCAGAATGTGTGGCATTTAATGGCGGTGAGCAGGTTTAAGTGACGTGTCGTACATCGTAAGTTGTTCCACTCATGCTGACAGACGCTGTTAAGTTCTGCTGAACATGATCAGGGTCCTTACTTTAAGTCTGTCATGCAGGACCGGGGCCTCGGCTGATCAATTAACAGTATGTGTCTGCTCCCCCGTGCGCACCCTCGTAATTTTGGTTTCGTTATGAGAAATGGTCCCATTGCTGTGGGTTTCTAAAGAAAGTAATTACACAGAGAGATTCCCTGTGGGGGATTAAAAACAAACGACACAGAAAACACGGCTCTGCCTGGTCGCCACCGCACGCTCAGGCCCAGCCTCCGCTTTGAAGCCTCTGCTTGTAACGCCCACACGCCCATGAATACAGAAGCTGTCACAGTAAAGCACGCTGGCAGACTTGTGGAAATTAGTGGGGGCCGCGTTGAGTGGAATCGGAAAGTGATGGGGATGGCCTGGCAATTTATGGACACGGCTTAACTGGTTTAGCATCAAGAGCTAAACAAAACATGATAGTCACGCGGTTCACACGGATGGCGGCAGAAAAGGCATCCGTCCTGCCAGTTCGTAGTGACAGGCAGCGGGGAGCATTACTCATCATTACATTCTCTGCTGGCAGCCTATTTTCATCACATTACCGCTGTATAATGAAGCGTTGCGCACAAACGTCCTCAGGTACTTTGTGTAGTTCACCATTAGCACCAGCTGGGAGCATTCATCCGAGTCGCTTTATTGAACTTTTTACACTTAGTTTACTGTATAATTATTTCATTAGTGCACAACAAAACATGCAGTGAGAGTCATGGAAAACACGCAGTTCAAGTGATTAATAAATTTAGCTTTGACAGTTGTGGCACATTTAATGCGACTCGGGCTCGTTGATGGTTGCTGGTTTTGATGGCGTTCATATGTTTAATAAATTGCTAAAGTGTCTAACGCCCACTCTTTCCTTCTGTTTTTTTCTGTTCCTTTCTAGGAACAAGGCAAAGCTGGCGTGACGTTTAACATTGGGACGGTGGACATCAGCGTTAAGGAAAATAGCACACCGGTAAATGATGGTAAATACCACTTGGTCCGATTCACCAGGAACGGAGGCAATGCAACCTTACAGGTGGACAACTGGCCGGTGAATGAGCACTTTCCCTCAGGTACTGCCCACATTTATAACTTGTCATGTGTACTGTTACTTTAACATGAGAGTAAAAATTATCGTGAGGTTTTTGAACCACTGGACACCATCTGGTTTTACACCTCCCAGGTTATAATTTTAAGCAAATGTTTTCTCTGTGGAAAAAATAAAATAAAAAAATCTGGATGAGAAATTAGAACCCCCACTACAAAAGCAAACAGAAACAGAAAGTAGATCCAAATATTGTCTAGTTGCCTCGTCCAACCATTAATACAATGTAGACATCTGATCAGAACCTGGAAGTTGGAGCTGGTAGGGAACTATTGTCAGTCCCAGTACAACCTATATGTCTTGCCCTTCTCAAAAATAAACAGAACATTGCCCTAAGTAAAAAAAGAAAATTCACCTCTGTAATTTTCAGTCGTTTGCTCTATTTGATTCATGTAGTTCTTACCTTTCTGCTCTATATTTAAGTTTGAAGTTTCAAAAATACTTTAAGCTGTAGTTGTTTTGTAATGATTAAAAGAAAGGTCATGTGACACCATGATTGTATCCAGAAGGAGCCTCACATCTCTAATGTGCATACTCTGGAAATACAGCATGGCCATAAACCAGATTCTACTGGTTTCAGTTCTCAGCATAGAGACAAGGCGAGTGATGACATCCAATATTAATAAACTATCAATGATACCCTCAGCAGGGTCCTGGAGGATGAATGGGAGTTTTCCCAACCAGTCTACATGTACTTTGTGGACTTGGAGAAGGCCTTCAATTTCGTCCCTCAGGGAACCTTGTGGGGGCTACTCCGGGAGTGTGGGGTACCGGGCCTTTTGATATGGGCTGTTAGGTCCCTGTGTGACTGGTGTCAGAGCCTGGTCCGCATTGCCAGCAGTAAGTCGGGCTCGTTCCCAGTGAGAGTTGGACTCCGCCAAGGTTGTCCTTTGTCACCGATTCTGTTCATAACTTTTATGGACATAATTTCTAGGTGCAGCCAAGGTGTTGAGGGGATCCGTTTTGGTGGCCTTAGAATCACATCTCTGATTTTCACAAATTATGTGGTCTTATTGGCTTAATCACGTCGTGATCTACAGCTTTCGCTGGAGCGGTTCGTAGCCGAGTGTGATGCAACCAGGATGAGGATCAGTTCCTTCAAATCCGAGGCCATGGTCTTGAGCTTGAAAAGGGTAGAGTGCCCTCTCCAGGTCAGGGAGGAGGTCCTGACCCAAGTCGAGGAGTTTAAGTATCTTGGGGTCTTGTTCACGAATGAGAGAAAAATGGAGCGTGAGATCGATAGGCAGATAGGTGCGGCGTCTGCAGTGACTGAGGAGAGGGAAGTCTGGGCATCTCTACTTAATCTGCTACCCCTGCGACCCGACCCTGGACAAGTGGAAGAAAATGGATGGATGCATGATTCTCCTGAAAATGTTTTGAATGTTCCTTTTTCATTGATACCACTTACACTCTGAATCTCTCTCAATATTTATTTTCTTCATTGCACAATTAAAGTTAAATAATGAAAGTTAGAACAAATCAAGACAAAAGTGAGAAATTAAAATGTTGCTCTGTTGTAGTTTCTAGCACACAGAGAGCAATAGTGGGTGTGCACAAAATATACAGTTGTCATTGTTTCACAAGGTTTTATTTTTTTTCTGCTTTATTTTGAAAATATTTTTCTGTAGATGAGAAATGCAAGCACAGCATAAAATGCTGATTTAGCTAAATCTTTCAATTCAATTCAGTTTATTTATATTGCTCCAAGTAACAACAGAAGTTGTCTCAGGGCACTGAACAGAAACATTCACATACATGAAAAGTCAATTAGAAGTTATTTATCTAAGGAAACCAGCAGATTGCATTGACTCATCACTCTGTCACTGTCTCCCATCCTGAGCAAGCACAACAGCAACAGTGGAAAGGAAAAACTCCCTTTTAACAGGAACAAACCTCCAGCAGAACCAGGCTCAGGACAAGCGGCCATCTACTTTGACCGACAATTTTAGTTTGAACAAGGGCTAATTAGTCTAAGGGACTAAACATTTTTTAATCTCTCCTGTTGCCTTTGGGTCAAAATGACCCACAAGCCCAATGACTGAGGCCTCCTGGGTCATTGTGACAAAGGGTCGAGGAGGGTGGAGCACTCTCTGAAAGTTTTAATGGCTGTTAGACCTATTATGAAGCAACTATAAGAACCCACATGTCTGCATCCACAATGCCAGTGAAACATGCTCATTATGCAGTAATCAACCGATGGACAGCGTTGCTTTTATATTACACATAATATCATCAACAACAATGAGTTGCTGTAGATTGAGTTTTGGGTCCTTGGTTTTACTTTTTAAAGCAGAATTTGAAATAGGACAGATCAGTCAAAACCGATCATGTCATAGACAACTGTATCTGTTGACTCTACTTTAACAATGTGAATGCCGTACAGCACTCAGTTTGCTCAACCTATCAACATGTATATTAATCATGTCTTATCTGCAACTCAAGAGCCTCCATTGAACCAAGAACGTGTCTACAATGCAGGAGATTCAACAGATCCAACAAAGACACTTACTAGGACTACTAATGACCACAATGTGAAAACAACAACAACAACAACAAAAACGCAAAGTGAACTACACTTAGGACTAAGAAGTGGTGTGTTGAGGTCCAAAAGTATCTATAAGCTATGCTAATTAAATGCAATGTTCTTTTTGATTATTCCACTTGACTCCACAAGAAAAAATGCTTGGAGCTAGATTTGTTGGTCTTGCTAGAGGCATTAATAGAGCAACATCAGGCTTGTTAATTTCAGAAAAAGCAAAAGAAGATAAATGAAACGCACCAAGAGCAGTTTGGTCAGTGGGCAAGCAAGGAAAAGATGGAGGCACAAACCATGAGTGGCCTGTTGGCCAGATATAGCTGCTACTTTCCTGTATCTCTTATTCTCAGGTCAGCAGAAGCAGCATGGATGCAGAATACAAATAGGTTCATCAAACACTACCTGCTCCAACTGGAGGCTCAGGTGCTCTCTTTCTTCAGAGCTGATATGTGCCGCTCAGCTAGCGAGTTGAGGGAGTGTGTGTGTGGGTGGGGGGTGTAGAGGGGAAAAAATCCTTTCCTTCCTGTCCAAGTCAATTAAATGAAGCTGCCTCTCTTCAAGTTTGATACCCTTTCAAGTCTTCAAGTGAACTGGCTTATGAGAAACCACATCGTTTTCCTCTCTCTTTCCTTCCCTCAATGTTACTTAGTCAATCAGAGCAGACACACGGAGAAACAATACAGGTAAAAAGCTTTGGTTTGACAAAAACAACGGATGGCAGAAGATACTATAAACTTTATTGATCACTGTGGTAAAAATGTGCTACAATTAGACAGAAAGACATACAAGACCACTGACGAGTGACGTGCTCGGTTACAACACAAACATGAACAGGTCTCTCTTGTAAACGAGTCCTCATGATTCAGTGAGACTTCCTAAATAAAGGTTTGGATGGAAAAATAAATGTGATAGAGAATTAAAGGTGGAACACTTATCAAAGGCTAAAGCAAAAGAAGTAAAATGTTAAGGCTGTTGCCGTTCAGTCATGAGGGATGAACCAATCTGAGCTGACCCTTTGAACACCAATGTTGTCTTCACCGACACCTGCTTTCCTGGCGTGGCCTGGCTTGTTGTTTGTTTGGGTCAGTAGTCCAGATGACAATAATCCATTCTGCCTCTGGTTTCCTTTTACATTTGGCTGCCCTTCGTTTCTTACTGACCAGATGGTTTGAGATAGGTTTCGTACCAACTGAGTCGCAGTAGAGCTGCAAGCCAGCAGTTTGACTTAAGAACAACCTGCACAATTGTCTGACAGCCAAACATTTTTGTCAAATGTGAAGGTTTTTAGTTTCTAGACCTGATATCTCTTTACAATATACATGTTGGTTAAATACTGAACGGTGAAGGTGGACAATAATGTGTTTGACCATGTTGGGGTGTCTATTTCCCAAATATCTCTGAACCAATGAATTGTAATGAAACTGGCAGAAAGTAATCATTGGACATGCATCATCTGATTAACTCTAACTCTTGGGAGTTATTATAACTCAAGATGGCTGCCACAGCTTACTGAAAAAATGGCTATGTTCAGTCAATATTACAAAAGTTGTAATACTCAGTGTGCAGTATCTTTGCAATAACTTATGGAATCAACTCTAGCAAAATATCTAATAAACCTGTTGCTTTTAATTCAACTTTACAGAGACTTTCATTTACAATTGATACAACTAAAACTGTTCGGAGTCTATCCGTTATAAAATGGATGCCACAGCTAATTAGCATTAGCCAACACAACAAAGGCTACAACTCAGTCAATTTTACAGATATTTAGCTAAACCTTTGTAAGATATTTTTATGCTCTGATGGTCTGAAGCAGGCTCTGGAAGGCCAATTGATTTCCATCTCAGAAGGTTTATTATAACTACACATATAAGGTACAAGATCACTGCAGCACTGGACCATCCTGGGCCGCCACGCGGTCCCAGGAAATGGCCGCGAGCCTCGATTAACACACATTTCTTCAGAACTGGCCACACCCCCCGGAAGTATTTGTCACCGCCTACGGGTGGGACGTCCCTATACTAGATCATGTGACCAGCTCTCTGCCAATGATCCTCGTCCGTAAAATATCAAAACACTAATGTGTGTGTTAGTGCCGGCGTGTAACTGGGAAATTCTTCCTACCAGAAACAGAACTTGAAAACAAATGGTGTGCCTTGTTTTAGCACATAAAATTTAATTTAATGAAATAATAAATAAATAAATAAAATAAAACTTTAATACAAATAATCACACATTTCAGTAAGATGATATGATAATATATAATCCAGTGATTCCCCTAGTTTACTTGCCTTGGCAGGACGCTCAGCTTCCGTGGTTCTTGTAGACGAGGGTAGTGGGTGGAGAACAAATGCATGTCTGTTTCGAGCATGCGGGGGCGGGGGAGACACGTCTGTCTTGTGCAATGTTTCGGGTGGAGGGGGGTGGCTACG